ATGAAGAGTGCATCATGGGCTTGGGCCCCCCTAGTTTTTTAAGGTTTCATTATCCATCCTGTCATTTTCTAGCAGATGCGATTGATACAATGTTATGGTCCTTGAAGGTGAGACCCTCGACATAATCACTCCCAGGTTTCTTTGACGTTGGTGTTTCGCTCTATTTTGTGGCCAGAATTTGTTTTGTACTCTGATGAAGATTTAATTTCCTCATGTTTACCATATCTGAGTAATTGAAAATTTCTCATCGTTGAACTTCATATTTTTTCTGCAGCCACTGAAAGATTTGGTTGATGTCCGCCTGGAGCCTTGCAGTGTCTGCAAGGGAAGACACTGTCATGCAGATTGGGGTGTCATCTGCAAAGGAAGACACGGTGCTGTGGCTGACATCCTTGTCTATGTGGGATATGAGGATGAGGAACAAGATGGGAGCTAGTACTGTGCCTTGTGGAACAGAGCTTTTCACCCTAGCTGCCTCGGACTTTACTCTGTTGACGACTACTCTCTGTGTTCTGTTAGTGAGGAATATGATCCCTCGACCAACTTTTTCCCGTTATTTCCCTTTGGGAGCATTTGGCGTATTACGCTGGTACACTTTCGAAGGCTTTTGAAAGTCTGTATATATTCATCTGCATTTTTTTTGTCTTTAGTGCATTTGGACCTTTCGTAGTGATCCAGAGTTGAGAAGACAGGAGCGACCTTTCTAAACCCATGTTGCCCGGGTTGTGTAATGAGGGTTTCTGATGGGTGGTGATCTTTCTTCTTAGGCCCTTTCAAAAATTTTTATGGGTATGGGATGTTGTGCTATGGCTGTAGTTCTTTTTCTGTTTCTTTTTTGCCCCCTTTTGGGTGGGGCTATGTTGTTTTTTTTTTAGTAACTGAGGGACCCCCGTGTCCATGCTCCCTCTCCATAGGTGGAAAAGGCTCGTGAAGGGGTTTTTGCAGTTCTTGATGAAAACAGAGTTCCTGATCTGGCCTGGGGCGAGTGCATGGGCAGTCCTTTTTTCGCCCGTTCGAAGTCATTTGGCGTCGGTAAATGGTTTGGGGTTTTTTTAAACAAATTTTTTGGCCCTTCTCATAAAAAATTCATTTTGTCTTTGACTTCAGTTGGTTTGCGGCTTGCTAAAAAATGAGTCATATTGGGATTGGTAGTCACTCATTTCCTTGCGTCATCTGTGTGGACCCATCTTGTTTAAGTAGGGGGGCCCCAAAACGGCGTTGTTCTCGATTTTGATTTGGCATTGGGGAAGAAATACTTTGGGTTTTTTTCGATTTCATTTATGGCTTTTAGTTCTTCCCGCGATTCCTGACTCCTAAAGGATTCTTTTAGCTTAAGTTCGATGCTTGCTATTTCTCTGACCAGTGTCTCCCTGCGCATTTCTGATATATTGACCTCTTTTAGCCGCTCTGTTATTCTTTTCCGTCGCCTGTAAAGGGAGCGCCTCTTTCTTTCTATTTTACATCTACTCCTCCTTTTTCTTAGAGGAATAAGCCTTGTGCATACATCGAGTGCCACCGAGTTAATCTGTTTAGGCATAAGTTTGGGTCTGTGTTGCTTAGTATATCTTCCCAGCTTATATCGGTTAGGACTTGGTTTACTTGGTCCCACTTTATGTTTTTGTTATTGAAGTTGAATTTGGTGAATGCTCCCTCGTGACTAGTCTCATTTTGTCGGTCTGAGGCTCCACGCATACATGTCTGAACCTCAATTATGTTGTGATCTGAGTATATTGTTTTTGATATGGTGACATTTCTTATCAGACATCATTGTTAGTGAAGATGAGGTCTAGTGTATTCTCCAGTCTAGTAGGCTCTATTATTTGCTGGTTTAAATTGAATTTTGTGCAGAGATTTAAAAGCTCGTGTGAGTGTGAGTTTTCATCAGAGCTGCCTCCTGGTGTTATTACTGCAACAATATTATTTGCTATATTCCTCCATTTTAGGTGCCTTAAGTTGAAATCCCCCAGGAGCAAGATGTTGGGTGCAGGAGCTGGAAGATTTTCCAGACAGTGGTCAATTTTTTTAACAGCTGTTCCTGGAATTGCTGGGATGTTGCATCCGGAGGCTTGTAGACTACCACAAGACTAGGTTTTGGTTCTCGACCTTTACTGCTAAAACTTCCACTACTTTCATTTGGGGCATTAAGCAGTTCTGTGCAAACAAGTGACTCTGCAATGTACAGGCCAACCCCCCCCTTTTGCCTGTTCACTCTGTCCATCTGTATAGGTTGTAACCTGGGATCCATATTTCGTTGTCCAAGTGATCCTTTTTATGTGGGTCTCAGTGAAAGCCGCGAACATTGCCTTTGCCTCTGCAAGCAGCCCACGGATGAAAGGTATTTGTGTTTTTTATTGCTGGCTTTAGACCCTGTATATTTGCAAAGAAGAATGTTATCGGACTGGTGGTATTGTTGGTACTGGGGGGGGTTTTTTTTTTCCGGCATTAGTATCTGTATCTGTTGGTTTGGAGTGGGGGCCCATCGACTGTGGTTCCACTCCAGAATGACTGGATTTGGTGTACGATTTCTGCCATTTCCTGCCATTTTTTTTCCTTCCTGGCACTAAAAAACCTCTCCTCTTGGTGGGCTGTGCTACCCAGGTTTTCCCATGGCCTGGATGTTTTGTATCTTTTTGTCCCCTTTAGATGGTATGCCTGGCAATTTAAGTTATAGCCAGATCTTTCCTGTAACTGAAGAGGTACACATTTCAGGGTGAAAAAGTTTTACAGGGAAGGGAGTTTGCATTTTCCTGTTGTCATATGGGCATGACATTTTCTAGGGTGGTCATAGTTGCATGTCCCATTCTGTTTTTTTCCCGATTTCCCATGCCAGCAGATACCAAGTGCATAGTATGTGCACAGGCTTGGTTTCCGTTTGCCTTGGGTTTCTGTGACTGTATTCCCTGTTGGTGCATGTTTCCCTGTCTTATTCCCATCCTCCTTAGCACCAACAATGGAGCTCCCCCAGTTGTTTTGGTAATTTATCCTCACTATTGCTATTGGAGTCCTCTTGTTTGCTATTTCCTGCGGTATTTCTGGTTTGCAATATTGGTTTTATCTTATCTTTGACTACACTTGTTTCCCTACTATGGGTCCTGTCCTCTATGAGGTCATTTATATGTAAATTCCCTTTCCCGCGTATAATTCCCGACTACCTGGACAAAATCTCCAGCTTCACCATTACTGTCTACCAGGACAGTATCTCCAGCTTCACCATTTCTGTCTCCCAGGGGCAGCACCTCCAGCTTCACCATTACTGTCTCCCAGGACAGTATCTCCAGCTTCACCATTACTGGGCTCCCAGGACAGCACCTCCAGCTTCAACCATTACTGTCTCCCAGGACAGCACTATCAGCCCTACATTTACTGACTACCAGGACATCACCTCCAGCCTTACAGTTTGTGACTACATGGCCAGTATCAAGGGCAGTACCATTCAGCCCGGACTTTTTATGTTCCCATCTGTTGTAGAAACTTCCAGGTTTTCTATGAAAGCAGCTTTGATGTTATCCTCTTTTAATACCTTGTGATTTTTGTCCACAGATTTTTTCCTCATTTGGGCATACCCAAAAACACTTCTCTGTTTTAATACTGCTTGTAGCTAGTTCTGGGATATCTGCACAAGGAGCGTGACACCAATTTCCACAAAAATGACAATTTATCCATGTGGTAGCCCGTTTGTTTGACTGACCACAGACTACACACAGCTTCATAATGATTTGAATGGTTGATTTACTGCAAGTCTACTAGCAACCTCTTGAATATTATATTAATAACCTTAAATGAAGCTCTAGCTATTTGTATTTCTGTTTCTAACTCTTTTTGTATATATATACGTCGTGCCGAATAGGCAGAACTTGCGATCTTGGCTTAAATAGCAACGTTCATCTTGCCATATAGGACAAGTGAAAATTTGTGTATGCAATAATTTCGCCAAAATCATTCTGAACCTAACGAAAAATTATATATTTCACTGTGTTTGTTTAGTATTAAATTACTGTAAACAAATCTAAAATACATTTAGTTGGGTTAGGCTAAAATAAATTCTTTTTATAATAAGGTTACGTAAGTTTTCTAAGATTCTTTTGGTGCAAAATTAAAAATTTTTACATTAACATTAATGAAAAAAATATATCTTCAAACGTACAAGAATTTTTTTTAGAAAAGGCTTAATTTTAAATGAGTTCTTGCTAACTGACCAGTTTTACATATTCGGCACGACATATATATATATATATATATATATATATATATATATATATATATATATATATATATATATATAATTATATATATATATATATTATATTAAGTTCTTTCTAAAATTTTCTCTTATACGTTTATAGATATACATATTTCATTTATGTAATGGAAAAATTTTTAATTTTGTACCAAAAGAACATTAGAAAACTTACCTAGCCTTATTATAACAAGCGCAATTTAATTTAGCCTAATCCAACTAAATATATTTTAGATAAGTTTACAATAATTTAATAATAAAAAACACAATGAAAAATATTTTTTTCGTTACGTTCAGAATAATTTTTGCGACATTATTTCATATATAAATTTTCTGTTGCCTTATTCGGCAAAAAGAGCGTTGCTATTGAATCCAAAATCGCAAGTTTTGCTTATTTGGCAGGTCATATATGTATAAATACATTAATGTGTGTGCACACTCCCCAAAAATGTTCATGAAATTGAAATTGTTAGTATCCATAATGACATACTACCAAGAACTATGTATTTAAAAACCTAATTTCGCTTTCCATAAATGACTCATAACTTTTTCAACATGTATAACTATGTTTTATTCTCCTTTCCTGAGTTCTTCTTCTTTGTTTACAACCCAACAATAGGCACATTACATTTATAATTTATTATATATTGCATTTTTTTTTCAAGATATTATGAAATTACTTTAAGCTTTGCATATTAACTCTGTTGTTATATGTATGAATGAATTCATTACTATTTTTTGATAAAAATCATTAATACAGAGGTGTGGGAGAGCGAGTGTGGCTACACAGGTTGACACAAAGCTGCAGTAACAGTCACAGTAAAGCGTCATGGGAGCTACTACTTGGCTGGTCTTAACTTGGGTGTTGGTCGCTCTGGCCTCCATTACTGTCTACGGGAAACGCCAAAAAGCAAGTGAAGAAACTTATTTTCGTATTTTAAGCACTGACTCTCATTCTCTCCTTTTCTTTATAATTGAACGAAAGGAACTTAAAAAAACTGGATTTTCAAAATATTCCTTCACAAGTAGTACTTTCCTTTTCACTATGGTATTTGAGGTGGTAGATCATGGTGGTGTATATGATATTGTGTATATGGACTTCAGGAAACCTTTGATAGAATTCTACAAGGGAGATTGTTGAGGAAAGAAGTGGCACGCAGAATAAGAGTGAATTTTTTTCCATATCAGAGGCGTGGTTGACAGACAGGCAACAGAAAGTTTGCATAAATTAGAAGAAATCAGAGTGGGCAGGCGTTACAAGAGGTGCTCCACAAGGGTCAGTGCTGGTCCCATTGTTTTTCGAAATATGCATAAACAACATATATAAAAAAAGATATAGCGCCATAAGCAAATTTGCCAATGACACCAAAGTAAGCTGTCAGATTAATTCCGACGAGGACACAGTTGGTTAAATTTGATCATGGTCAGAAAAGTGGCAGATTCATTTAAATAATGCAAAGAAATTTTTCTAAGCCTGGTTAGCGTATGTGAAGCCAAACAAGAGTGTATCAGTTTTGAAATTTTAACTAATAAAATTCTTGGCTTCAACAAGGGAAAAATATGAGGGGGGCCTCAGGTTATACTTGGGCTCTATATATTTTTCCTCTGGTTGACCTCATTTAAAATTTTGCCCGTTCTGGTCACCAAGCACAGAATAACAAAAATAAGCTGGAAAATATCAGAAAATGATGACAATGATGTTCCCATGCATCACAAAACTTTACAAAGTGACTAGGGCACTGAATCTGTACTTACGGGAAAAGGGGCAGAGTTAGGAGGATAAGAGAGGTAAAGGGAATCAGGAAAAAATGAAGGGGTAAAATAATTGGTAAAAATATCTAATGAAACAGGGGCTCGAAGAATGGATTAAAAAAAAATAATGATATTGTATATATTCTGTGATAATATTTCGATATAAAATTATCATTGCAAAAAAATATAATAATAATAATAATAATAAAATAATAATAATAATAATAATAATAAAATAATAATAAAAAAAAGTAAAATATCGTTTTTTACTACAATACAAGGGATACAGTCCTGCTGCGTCAGTGACATACAACTATACAGAAAGCGTTGTTTTCTGAGCATTTTGGCAAATTAGGTCAATTTTTTCCCAGGATGCGACCCACACCAGTCCACTAACACCCAGGTACCCATGTTACTGATGGGTGAACATAGACAACCGGTGTAAGGAAACACGTCCGATGTTTCCACCCCGTCGCCGGGAATCGAACCCGGACCCTCACCCTGTGAAGCGAGAGCTTTTGCCGCCAGGCCACGGCTCACCGTGGCCTGGCGGCAAAAGGATTGGAAGTTATCTAACAATATACTGAAGCCGATAGGAAACGCTGAAACAAGAGCAGGGATATGACTGGCTAAAAATAAGAAAGTTATAGAATTTAACATAATATATTGCTGTCTAGATTATAGTAAAGTAATAAGGTGCTTTTTAACACTAGCCTTGAACTGGTTGGCAATAAAGAACTATTGGAGTTTTCAGGAAGAGAGTCCAGATTTTAGGGCCTTATACACGAATAGAGTTTTTACACAGTTTGTTTCTGACACGAGGGATATCAAAGAGATGTTTGCCTCGTATTATGTCTATGAGTCCCGTTTGACATCCACACGGTAGCAGATTGAGATTAGCCATGGAGTTTTCCACTCCCTGAATATGGCCGGTGCTAGGGAAAGTAAATTTAGTGTCCTCACTGGACACCTAACGTTTTATGCCATGGTGGCGTTGTGGTCTAGGGTGTCCAGAGTTTACCTAACTTCAGGGAAGGCTGCCTAAACGCCTCGGGTTCGATTCTCGGCTTTATACCGCTCGCTTCCATAGTTAAACAGGTAAAACTTACGATTTTGTAAGGCAAGCGAAAATTTGTGTATGCAATAATTTAGCAAAAATCATTCTGAACCTGACGAAAAAATATATTTTATTGTGTTTGTTTATTATTAAATTATTGTAAACTTATCTAAAATATATTTAGTTTGATTAGGCTAAATTAAATTGCGCTTATTTTAATAAGGTTAGGTAAGTTTTCTTCTGATATAAAATTATTATTTTTTCATTAACATAACCGAAAAAAACTTACAAAAGAAAATTTTGAAAAGGACTTAATTTTAAATGAGTTCCTGCTAATTGACTAATTTTATCTATTTGGTACGGCGTATACATATATATCCTCATCTTCATATCTGACATAGACAGGGATATTAGCCACAGCGCCATGTCATCTTTTGCAGATGACACCCGAATTTGCATGACAGTGTCCTCCATTGTACACTCCGCAAGACTCCAGGCGAACATCAACCAAATCTTTAAATGGGCCGCAGAAAACAATATGAAGTTCAATTATGAGAAATTTCAATTACTCCGATACGGAAAACGTGAGGAAATTAAAATTACATCTGAGTATAAAACAAATTCCAACCACACAATAGAGCGAAAAGCTAATGTCAGAGACCTGGGAGTGATCATGTCAGAAGATCTCACCTTCAAGGACCATAACACTGTATCAATCGCATCTGCTAGAAAAATGGCAGAATGGATAATGAGAACCTTCAAAACTAGGGAGGTCAAGCCCATGATGACACTCTTCAGGTCACTTGTTCTATCTAGGCTGGAATATTGCTGCACACTGACAGCACCTTTCATGGCAGGTGAAATTGCTGACCTAGAAAATATTCAGATAACCTTAACATTTACCTGGAGTTTACCTGGAGAGAGTTCGGGGGTCAACGCCCCCGCGGCCCGGTCTTTGACCAGGCCGCATAAATGAGATAAAACACTTCAATTACTGGGAGCGTTTGAAGTTCCTGAACCTGTACTCTCTAGAACACAGGCGGGAGATATACATGATTATATACACTTGGAAAATCCTAGAGGGACTAATACCAAACTTACACCCGAAAATCACTCCCTGTGACAGCAAAAGACTCGGCAGACGATGCAACATCCCCCGATGAAAAAGCAGGGGTGCCACTAGCACGATAAGAGAACACACAATAAATGTCAGGGACCCAAGACTTTTCAAGTGCCTCCCAGCATACATAAGGGGGATTACCAATAGACCCCTGGCTGTCTTCAAGCACCTAAAGCCAGCACCTAAAGTCAGTACCTGACCAGCCGGGCTGTTGTCCGTACGTCGGTTTGCGTGTGGCCAACAGTAACAGCCTGGTTGATCAGTCCTTGATCCACCATGAGGCCTAGTCACGGACCAGGCCGCAGGGGCGCTGACCTTCGGAACCCTCTCTAGGTATACTCTAGGTGTATTTATGTATATATATATATATATATATATATATATATATATATATATATAATATATATATATATATATATATATGGGTGGGTGCAGGAGGAAAGAGGAGTGATTGGTGGAATGATGAAGTAAAGGGTGTGATAAAAAAGAAAAAGGTAGCTTGTGAGAGGTTTTTACAGAGCAGAAGTGTTATAAGAAGAGCAGAGTATATGGAGAGTAAAAGAAAGGTGAAGAGAGTGGTGAGAGAGTGCAAAAGGAGAGCAGATGATAGAGTGGGAGAGGTACTCCCAAAAAATTTTGATGAAAATAAGAAAAAAATTGGAGTGAGATAAACAAGTTAAGAAAGCCTAGGTAACAAATGGATTTGTCAGTTAAAAACAGAGTAGGAGAGTTAGTAGATGGGAGATGGAGGTATTGGGTAGATGGCGAGAATATTTTCAGGAACTTTTAAATGTCGACGAAGAAAGGGAGGCGGTAATTTCATGCACTGGCCAGGGAGGTATACCATCTTTTAGGAGTGAAGAACAGGATGTGAGTGTGGGGGAGGTGCGTGAGGCATTACATAGAATGAAAGGGGGTAAAGCAGCTAGAACTGAAATATTAAAAGCAGGGGGGGATAGTGTTGGAGTGGTTGGTATTTTTGTTTAATAAATGTATGAACGAGGGGAAGGTACATAGAGATTGGCAGAGGGCTGAGTATACCTGGAAAAGTGTATACTAGGGTTATTATTGAAAGAATTAGAGGTAAGACAGAAAGTAGGCTTGCAGATGAGCAAGGAGGCCTTAGAGTGGGTAAGGGATGTGTAGATCAAGTGTTCACATTGAAACATATATGTGAACAGTATGTAGATAAAGGTAGATAAGTTTTCATTTCATTTATGGATTTAGAAAAGGCATATGATAGAGTGGATAGGGGAGCAATGTGGCAGATGTTGCAAGTATATGGAATAGGTAGTAAGTTACTAAATGCTGTAAAGAATTTTTATGAGGATAGTGAGGCTCAGGTTAGGGTGTGTGGAAGAGAGGGAGAATACTTCCCAGTAAAAGTAGGTCTTAGACAGGGATGTGTAATGTCACCATGATTGTTTAATATATTTATAGATGGGCTTGTAAAAGAAGTAAATGCTAGGGTGTTCGGGAGAGGGTTGGGATTAAATCATGGGGAATCAAACACAAAATGGGATTTGACACAGTTGCTTTTCGCTGATGAGACTGTGCTTATGGGAGATTCTATTCTAAAGGAAAGTTGCAAAGGTTAGTGGACGAGTTTGGGAGTGTGTGTAAAGGTAGAAAGTTGAAGTGAACATAGACAAGAGTGAGGTGATGAGAGTATCAAATGATTTAGATAAAGAAAAATTGGATATCAAATTGGGGAGGAGGAGTATGAAAGAAGTGAATGTTTTCAGATACTTGGGAGTTGACGTGTCGGCAGATGGATTTATAAAGGATGAGGTTAACCATGGAAATGATGGAGGAAAAAAGGTGAGTGGTGCGTTGAGGTATATGTGGAGACAAAAAACAACATTATCTATGGAGGCAAAGAATGGAATGTATGAAAGTATAGTGGTACCAACACTCTTATATGGGTGTGAAGCTTGGATTGTAAATGCTGCAGCGAGGAGGCGGTTGGAGGCAGTGGAGATGTCCTGTCTAAGAGAAATGTGTGGTATAAATATTATGCAGAGAATTCGGAGTGTGGAAATTAGGAGAAGGTGTGGAGTTAATAAAGTATTAGTCAGAGGGCTGAAGAAGGGTTGTTGAGGTTGCTTGGTCATTTAGAGAGAATGGATCAAAGTAGAATGACATGGAGAATGTATAAATCTGTAGGGGAAGGAAGGTGGGGTAGGGGTCGTCCTCGAGAAGGTTGGAGGGAGGGGGTAAAGGAGGCTTTGTGGGCGAGGGGCTTGGATTTCCAGCAAGCATGCGTGAGCGTGTTAGATAGGAGTGAATTGAGACGAATGGTGTTTTGGACCTGATGAACTGTTTGAGTGTGAGCAGGGTAATATTTAGTGAAGGGATTCAGGGAAACCAGTTATTTTTATATAGCCGGACTTGAGTCCTGAAAATGGGAAGTACAATGCCTGCACTTTAAAGGAGGGGTTTGGGATATTGGCAGTTTGGAGGGATATATTGTGTATCTTTATACGTATATGCTTCCAAATTGTTGTGTTCTGAGCACCTCTTTACGTGCTTGGCTAGGTGTGGGTTCCAAACTGGTGCCGCATACTCCAATATGGGCCTAACGTACACGGTGTACAGGGTCCTGAACGATTCCTTATTAAGATGTCGGAATGCTATTCTGAGGTTTGCTAGGCGCCCATATGCTGCAGCAGTTATTTGGTTGATGTGCGCTTCAGGAGATATGCCTGGTGTTATACTCACCCCAAGATCTTTTTCCTTGAGTGAGGTTTGTAGTCTCTGGCCCCCTAGACTGTACTCCGTCTGCGGTCTTCTTTGCCCTTTCCCAATCTTCATGACTTTGCACTTGGTGGGATTGAACTCCAGGAGCCAATTGCTGGACCAGGTCTGCAGCCTGTCCAGATCCCTTTGTAGTTCTGCCTGGTCTTCGATCGAGTGAATTCTTCTCATCAACTTCACGTCATCTGCAAACAGGGACACCTCAGAGTCCATTCCTTCCGTCATGTCGTTCACAAATACCAGAAACAGCACTGGTCCTAGGACTGACCCCTGTGGGACCCCGCTGGTCACAGGTGCCCACTCTTACACCTCGCCACGTACCATGACTCGCTGCTGTCTTCCTGACAAGTATTCCCTGATCCATTGTAGTGCCTTCCCTGTTATCCCTGCTTGGTCCTCCAGTTTTTGCACCAATATCTTGTGTGGAACTGTGTCAAACGCCTTCTTGCAGTCCAAGAATATGTGTGTGTGTGTGTGTGTGTGTGTGTGTGTGTGTGTGTGTGTGTGTGTGTGTGTGTGTGTGTTCATCTAATTTCTCACCTAATTGTGGTTGCAGGGATCGAGTCTTAACTCCTGGCCTCTTCACTGGTTGCTACTAGATCTACTCTCTCCCTGCTACATGAGCTTTATCATACCTCTTCTTAAAGCTATGTATGGATCGTGCCTACACTACATCACATTCCAGACTATTCCACTTCCTGACAACTCTATGACTGAGTGTGTGTGTGTGTGTGTGTGTGTGTGTGTGTGTGTGTGTGTGTGTGTGTGTGTGTGTGTTTAGTTTCACTAGTAATTGAATTTCTACTTGTTAGTCCTGTGTGTGCTTGTTTGCAATCTTTGTTAAAAACTGCGTAAACACAGTGATAATGGCTTTCTTTGTACTTAGCAAATCAACATTGTAATTACACATTGTAAACTATTCTAAGAAATAAAATAATTAATCCTTACTAAGAAACATATGAAGATCTTAAGGTAAAATTTACTTACTGTTTTCAAGTTTTAATGCTATACAGGAGAACTTGTTATCTGGCACAATAAAGACTTTCTTATTTCGTAACCAAAACAGTAATTTAATAACTAGTGAGGTTCAATGATATAATAGAAACACTCACTGGTGATGTACGTTACTTGTGTTTGTTGGTATTGCAGGTGGTGCAGCAAGAACCCTCACAGCTGGCTCGGCAGGCGTCCCCATTGAAGGGCCAGGGTATGACTTGTCTTGATGCTGGAGGAGAGTGTCTACTCACCCACAGTTGGTGCCACTTTCCTCTACCATACTTCGATGACTGTTCCCACCCCACTGCCATTTGCTGCCATCGTGAGTCTGCTCATCTGTTATCCGGTTTTCCAACACCTTTGGTTGAACAATAGATTAAAATATCTCATTGGTCAAAAGAGAGGCATATATAGGCGAATCAAAAGAGGAGAGGGGCAGTTAAGAAATCAATATATTCAGTTAAAGGGAGAAATAAAAACGGGAATAAGAAAAGCAAAAAGAGATTATGAGGTTAAAGTTGCAAGAGGATTGAAGACTAACCCAAAAGGATTCTTTCAGCAGTAAGATTAGGGACAAGATAGGCCCACTCAAAAGTTACTCAGGTCAGCTCACTGACAGTGATTACCTGGAGTTTACCTGGAGAGAGTTCCGGGGGTCAACGCCCCCGCGGCCCGGTCTGAGACCAGGCCTCCTGGTGGATCAGAGCCTGATCAACCAGGCTGTTGCTGCTGGCTGCACGCAAACCAACATACGAGCCACAGCCCGGCTGATCCGGAACTGACTTTAGGTGCTTGTCCAGTGCCAGCTTGAAGACTGCCAGGGGTCTGTTGGTAATCCCCCTTATGTGTGCTGGGAGGCAGTTGAACAGTCTCGGGCCCCTGACACTTATTGTATGGTCTCTTAACGTGCTAGTGACACCCCTGCTTTTCATTGGGGGGATGGTGCATCGTCTGCCAAGTCTTTTGCTTTCGTAGTGGGTGATTTTCGTGTGCAAGTTCGGTACTAGTCCCTCTAGGATTTTCCAGGTGTATATAATCATGTATCTCTCCCTCCTGCGTTCCAGGGAATACAGGTTTAGGAACCTCAAGCGCTCCCAATAATTGAGGTGTTTTATCTCCGTTATGCGCGCCGTGAAAGTTCTCTGTACATTTTCTAGGTCGGCAATTTCACCTGCCTTGAAAGGTGCTGTTAGTGTGCAGCAATATTCCAGCCTAGATAGAACAAGTGACCTGAAGAGTGTCATCATGGGCTTGGCCTCCCTAGTTTTGAAGGTTCTCATTATCCATCCTGTCATTTTTCTAGCAGATGCGATTGATACAGTGTTATGGTCCTTGAAGGTGAGATCCTCCGACATGATCACTCCCAGGTCTTTGACGTTGGTGTTTCGCTCTATTTTGTGGCCAGAATTTGTTTTGTACTCTGATGAAGATTTAATTTCCTCATGTTTACCATATCTGAGTAATTGAAATTTCTCATCGTTGAACTTCATATTGTTTTCTGCAGCCCACTGAAAGATTTGGTTGATGTCCGCCTGGAGCCTTGCAGTGTCTGCAATGGAAGACACTGTCATGCAGATTCGGGTGTCATCTGCAAAGGAAGACACGGTGCTGTGGCTGACATCCTTGTCTATGTCGGATATAAGGATGAGGAACAAGATGGGAGCGAGTACTGTGCCTTGTGGAACAGAGCTTTTCACCGTAGCTGCCTCGGACTTTACTCTGTTGACGACTACTCTCTGTGTTCTGTTAGTGAGGAAATTATAGATCCATCGACCGACTTTTCCTGTTATTCCTTTAGCACGCATTTTGTGCGCTATTACGCCATGGTCACACTTGTCGAAGGCTTTTGCAAAGTCTGTATATATTACATCTGCATTCTTTTTGTCTTCTAGTGCATTTAGGACCTTGTCGTAGTGGTCCAATAGTTGAGACAGACAGGAGCGACCTGTTCTAAACCCATGTTGCCCTGGGTTGTGTAACTGATGGGTGTCTAGATGCGTGGTGATCTTGCTTCTTAGGACCCTTTCAAAGATTTTTATGATATGGGAAGTTAGTGCTATTGGTCTGTAGTTCTTTGCTGTTGCTTTACTGCCCCCTTTGTGGAGTGGGGCTATGTCTGTTGTTTTTAGTAACTGTGGGACGACCCCCGTGTCCATGCTCCCTCTCCATAGGATGGAAAAGGCTCGTGATAGGGGCTTCTTGCAGTTCTTGATGAACACAGAGTTCCATGAGTCTGGCCCTGGGGCAGAGTGCATGGGCATGTCATTTATCGCCTGTTCGAAGTCATTTGGCGTCAGGATAACATCGGATAGGCTTGTGTTAATCAAATTTTGTGGCTCTCTCATAAAAAATTCATTTTGGTCTTCGACTCTCAGTCTGGTTAGCGGCTTGCTAAAAACTGAGTCATATTGGGACTTGAGTAGCTCACTCATTTCCTTGTTGTCATCTGTGTAGGACCCATCTTGTTTAAGTAGGGGCCCAATACTGGACGTTGTTCTCGATTTTGATTTGGCATAGGAGAAGAAATACTTTGGGTTTCTTTCGATTTCATTTATGGCTTTTAGTTCTTCCCGCGATTCCTGACTCCTAAAGGATTCTTTTAGCTTAAGTTCGATGCTTGCTATTTCTCTGACCAGTGTCTCCCTACGCATTTCAGATATATTGACCTCTTTTAGCCGCTCTGTTATTTCTTTTCCGTCGCCTGTAAAGGGAGCGCCTGTCTCTTTCTGTTTTACATCTACTCCTCCTTTTTCTTAGAGGAATAAGCCTTGTGCATACATCGAGTGCTACCGAGTTAATCTGTTCTAGGCATAAGTTGGGGTCTGTGTTGCTTAGTATATCTTCCCAGCTTATATCGGTTAGGACTTGGTTTACTTGGTCCCACTTTATGTTTTTGTTATTGAAGTTGAATTTGGTGAATGCTCCCTCGTGACTAATCTCATTATGTCGGTCTGGGGCTCCGCGCATACATGACTGAACCTCAATTATGTTGTGATCTGAGTATATTGTTTTTGATATGGTGATATTTCTTATCAGATCATCATTGTTAGTGAAGATGAGGTCTAGTGTATTCTCCAGTCTAGTAGGCTCTATTATTTGCTGGTTTAAATTGAATTTTGTGCAGAGATTTAAAAGCTCGCGTGAGTGTGAGTTTTCATCAGAGCTGCCTCCTGGTGTTATTACTGCAACAATATTATTTGCTATATTCCTCCATTTTAGGTGCCTTAAGTTGAAATCCCCCAGGAGCAAGATGTTGGGTGCAGGAGCTGGAAGGTTTTCCAGACAGTGGTCAATTTTTAACAGCTGTTCCTGGAATTGCTGGGATGTTGCATCCGGAGGCTTGTAGACTATCACAATGACTAGGTTTTGGTTCTCGACCTTTACTGCTAAAACTTCCACTACTTCATTTGAGGCATTTAGCAGTTCTGTGCAAACAAGTGACTCTGCAATGTACAGGCCAACCCCCCCCTTTTGCCTGTTCACTCTGTCACATCTGTATAGGTTGTAACCTGGGATCCATATTTCGTTGTCCAAGTGATCCTTTATGTGGGTCTCAGTGAAAGCCGCGAACATTGCCTTTGCCTCTGCAAGCAGTCCACGGATGAAAGGTATTTTGTTGTTTGTTGCTGGCTTTAGACCCTGTATATTTGCAAAGAAGAATGTTATCGGACTGGTGGTATTGTTGGTACTGGGGGGGGTTTTTTTTTTTCCGGCATTAGTATCTGTATCTGTTGGTTTGGAGTGGAGGCCATCGACTGTGGTTCCACTCCAGGAATGACTGGATTTGGTGTACGTTTTTCTGCCATTTCCTGCCAGTTTTTTTTCCTTCCTGGCACTAAAAAACCTCTCCCTCTTGAGTGGCTGTGGCTACCCAGGTTTTCCCATGGCCTGGATGTTTTGTATCTTTTTGTCCCCTTTAGATGGTATGCCTGGCAATTTAAGTTATAGCACAGTCTTTCCTGTACTGAAGAGGTACACAGTTCAGGGTGAAAAAACTTACAGGAAGGGAGTTTGCATTTTCCTGTTGTCATATGGGCATGGCATTTCCTAGGGTGGTCATAGTTGCACGTCCCATCTGTTTTTCCAGATTTCCCATGCCAGCAGATACCGAGTGCATAGTATGTGCACAGGCTTGGTTTCCGTTTGCCTTGGGTTTCTGTGACTGTATTCCCTGTTGGTGCATGTTTCCCTGTCTTACTTCTATCCTCCCTAGCACCAACAATGGAGCTCCCACCATTTGTTTTTGGTAATATATCCTCACTATTGCTAGTGGAGTCCTCTTGTTTGCTGTTTCCTGCGGTATTTCTAGTTTGCAATATTGGTTTTATCTTATCTTTGACTACACTTGTTTCCCTACTATGGCTCCTGTCTCCTATGCGGTCATTCATATGTATTCCTTCCTGCGTATAATTCCCGACTACCTGGACAAAATCTCCAGCTTCACCATTACTGTCTCCCAGGACAGCATCTCCAGCTTCCCCATTACTGTCTCCCAGGACAGCATCTCCAGCTTCACCATTACTGTCTCCCAGGACAGCACCTCCAGCTTCACCATTACTGTCTCCCAGGACAGCACCTCCAGCTTCCCCATTAAGGAAATGTGTAGAATTTTTAACACTTACTTCCTCTCAGTTTTTGCACAGGAAGATACTAGTGATATTCCAGAAATAATAAATTATATAGAACAGGAGGATAATAAACCATGCAAGATTAGGGTCACAAGTGACATGGTTCTTAGACAAATAGATAAATTAAAACCAAACAATTCCCCAGGCCCTGATGTATTGTATGCAAGGGTTCTAAAGGTATGTAAAGAGAAGCTTAGCAAACCTTTGACTAATCCTTTCAATATATCACTACAAACTGGCATGGTGCCAGATAAGTGGAAAATGGCAAATGTGATACCTATTTTCAAAGCAGGTGACAGGTCCTTAGCTTCGAATCACAGACCAATAAGACTAACCTCCATAGTGAGTAAATTTAAGGAATCAATAATTGCCAAGACAATTTGTAACCATCTTGAAAAGCATAAATGAATTAAGGAATCTCAGCACAGTTTTACAAAAGGGCATTCCTGCCTTACGAATTTGTTGACTTTTTTCACTAAGGTATTTGAGGAGTTAGATCGTGGAAGTGAATATGATATTGTATATATGGACTACAGTAAGGCTTATGATAAGGTCCCACATCAGGGACTATTGAGGAAAATTAAGGCACACAGAATAGGAGAATTTTTTTTCCTGGATAGAGGCATGGTTGATAAATAGGCACCAGAGTTTGAATAAATGGGGAAAAATCAGAGTGGGGAAGTGTCACGAGTGG